AACATGAAGTAGAGGGGTAGGATTTTGTAGGTCAGGATAAGAACTTTGTACTTATCCTTAAGAATATATGAAAGCATCATATGGTTCTAGGCAGGAGGACAGTGACATGATCAGATCTGGGTTTCCAAAAGATGACTTTAGGTACAGAGTGGAGGCTGGGCTGTGTTGAATGTGGTTATTGGAGTGGGTCTCCTGCAGCAGGCTGCTGTAGGTGTTCAGTTAGAGATGGAGATGTATTGGACCAAAGTGGTGGCCAATGATTTAACACATATTTGGAGGTGAGATAAACAGCTCTTGGAGGTTGACTGGCCACGTAGTGTAAAGCAGAGGGAGGTGTCAAGCATCCCTTTCTTTTCTCCCAGTAAAAATTCAAAAGTTAAAAATTTAAAGTCTTTGATTAGTTTGCTAGGGCTTCACTAACAGATCACCATGGAACAAGTGGCCTATAACCACAGAAGTTTATTCTTTCATGGTTCTGGGAGCTGTAAATACAAAATCAAGGTGTCAAAAAGGCTGTGCTCTCTCTCATGACCCTAGTGGAAAATCTTTTCTTGTATCTGTCACACATCTCCACACACTCCTTGCCTGTGTCTGCATAACTTTTGTTTCTGCCTCACTCTTCACATGGCCTTCTCTTCTCTTCTGTCTTTTATAACAACCCTTATTACCAGATTTGAGACTTATTCAGAGTATCTAGGATGACCTCATCCGGAGATCCTCATCTTAATAATATCTTCAAAGACACCTTTTCCAAATAAGGTCCTAGTCACAGGTTTTGGGGACTAGAATATGGACATATCTTTGTTGGTTCCACCCTTCACCCCACTATAGGCATCAAGTGAGTAATCCTTTACATTCCCCAAAGTAAGGCTACGAGGGTTGACCTATGTGCACATTGTTCTCACCACATATCATTTGAAGTGGTCTTCTGACAGACCACTTGCTAGTCTGAATATTAAGTGTCCTCCAAAGGTCCATGTGGGAAAGACTTGGCCCCCATGGTGGCACTACTGGGAGGTGTTAAAAACTTTAAGATGTGAGGACGAGTGGAGGATCTTTAGGTTGTTGGGTTGTGTCCTTCCTTTTCTTTCTCTTTTGATCCCTGGCCACAGGTGAGCAGTTTTGCTCTGCCACATGTTTCTGCCATGATGTTCAGTCTTGCCACAGGCCTAACAGCATCAGGGCAACCTCTGAAGCCAAGATCGAAAGCAAACCTTTTCTCTTTCTCAGTTAATTATCTCAGGTATTTATTATAGTGATGGAAAGCTAACTGATACACCAAATGACCTCCAATAATTGCCAGACCTTTTGAAGTCTTCTGTGCATATTCTCATCATGGGCTCAATGCGTACATTGAATCACTTGATATTGAAGTTTTCATTTACTTGTCTTACTTGTTTGTGAGGCCTTTGAAGGAAGCAATTGTTTTTGTTCATCTTTGTACTCTCAAGGCTAGCCTGTGCCTGGCAAAGAAGGAATTACCCAGTAACTTTTGAGGCACTACACAGAATATAGTTGTCTTTTTGTTTTTATCAGATGACGATTAACTATAATTAGTTAAAAATTGCTGAATAGCAGATGCAAGTTTTTTTAATGGAGGCAGGATATAAATAAAAATCACCTTGTCTTCTGTAGTTTTCTTGTAGCTGCTGAGAATATAAAGATGAATAAGTACTAGTTCTCACACTTTAATAGCTCACTCTGTTGGAAAGACACATCTGAACAAATTAACAATAAATGAGTAGTAATTCTGCATTAGAGGCATGAGGGGAAATACTGTGGAGGCAAAGCACAGAGAGCTACTATTTGTTGGGGGTGGCTAGAGATGGCTTTGAAGAGATGGCATTAGAATTGGTTCTTGAGGATGAGTGGGGATTTTCCAGGGAAAGGATACTCTAAGGTGAAATGAAGCCAGAAGGGAATCCTATTAGAATTCTATTAGCAATATGAGGGTAAAAATTAAGAGTCATTTCAAGAAAAATGAGATTTTTAACAGATGTGGAAGACAGATAAGAAGTGGTTAAATATGTTCACTGAATAAGACTTGACACTAAATGAACATGTAAGGAAAAGGATGGAGTCAGACCGCCATGCCTTGGCAAACCCTGGGCCCTTCTTCTAAGAATGGTGTGTCTGTGCACTTCAGATGTTAATTGGAAATGTGGTCTGGGTTTTCTTCATGACAGGATGTAAATCTGTATTTTAGTCAGGGCTTTGCTCTTTTGGATTAATATATAATGTCCTTGAAATCCCTCAGTTCTTTTCTTCCTTATTTTTTCCTAAGAAAAAAGAACCATCTTTAAAAAGCTACATGATAGTGCTGGATTTAGCTTATTTTAGCAAAGGTCACAGCATTTCTGAGTAGTAAACACTATAACTGGATCTTTCCAGTGCCTGGGTGTTTGGCAGACAGGGCTCCATCTGGAATAAATGACTAGTGCTGTAGGGGTGGAGGACAGCTGTGGGTCTGTGAAGCCCCTGGGCATCTGGAAGAGGCAGATGCATCCTGTTTCTTCTCAGCCACAGCCAGGAAGCAAATCAAGGCAAAAACCCTCCCCTTTGCTTGAGTCAACCAGACTGTTGAGCAAGTTTAGAGCATGTGTGGTCTACTGATTTCAATTTGGCTTTAGAAACCAAATGGGTAAGAGGAGATTATTTGAGCTGATGTCAGGAATCCAGGATGACTTTCAGTTGCAATTCACTAGCACCTGGATTCTATTCCTAAGGTTTTTCCTCCTGTGATGATAATATCACCAATTAATATACTTGTACTCATAAAGCTTTAATCTTCAGGGAACACTCAACCCTTGGGAGAGGTCAACTAATTAATTTCTGCAATGTTTCAGATTAGGCATTGTATATTTTATGACCTTGATAATAACAGTGATTATTGAGTCACAAAAATATTAAATCATCTTGCAAGGACTCCCAGTATGAAATTAATAGGAAACAGGCAAAGAACATAGGTTCTGGACATTCTAAGATGTGTTTCTGTCACTGCCCTAGGCAGGCCCCTCACAGGAGTGCCCACCCAGTTGTTAAGCAGAGAGAACAATTGAAAACTGAAGGGATGTTGCACAGAAGAATAGTATGCAGCAACATTCTAAGGAAACCCCAGCTACGCTAATGTGAAAGTCATCTGAAATTGTCCACATCTCTGGAGCTCAGAGATAACTTCTTATCTCTGTGAAGTCAGAGATTGGACAAATGCCTTTTCCCCTGTGGTCTGGTTGACAGATCACTGGGCCTCAATTCATGAAGACTTAGGTTTGAGTGTTGACCCTATCATTCATGAACTGTCTTATCCTTGGCAACTTGGAAAAACAGTTTTCTCAATTATGGAATAATTTAACTGCCTGACAGTGAATTCTTCTTTTCATCCTAAGAACCTGGCTTCCTAGTTCAAGACACCATCATCTTTCACTTCTGATTGGAATTCTCTGTCATTCTTGTTCTTCTATTGCCTCTTTCCCACATAGCTCTTGGAGTGGTCTTTTAAAATCAAAATTCAAATTTCATCAGTCTTTTGTCTAAAACTTTTTAGTAGCATCCATTCATATACAGAATAAAATACAAATTCCTTATCACAGCCTAAGAGGCCTCACATGCTCTGTCCTTTGCTCATCTCCTTGGCCTCTTCTTGCTGCAGTGTCATTGTTCACTGTGCAACTGCCGGACAAGCTTGTTTGTTTCACCTCTAGACCTTTGCCGTCTTATCATCCAAGGCTCTTCCTCACTTCTGAATGGCTCCTGAAGTCTTAAGCCAAATCTTATCTATTCAGAGAGGTCCTCCCTGAGCACTGTATCTAAGGTAGCATCCCCTGTCACATTCTAATGCTTTTATGCATTTGTAGCAGTTATGATTATGTGAATTTGTCTTGTCTGCTTAATTGTTTTACTGTCATCAGTTTCTGCCTGCCAGACATATGTACTTGTATTAACAGTACATTTCTAGAGTTTAGAACAACATATGACAATGTTGCATGTGCTAACACTCAATCAATACATCTCTTGGATGAAAAATGAATAAGGTTAAATGCAATAATGTGTATAGAAGTGTTTAACCCACAAAATCCATAAGTTTGTTCTCTGTATTCTTGCTCTTAAGGTCTTACTTGTTCTAGAATAAAGTACTGGCCAACAGGAAATAATGGTAACAGTAGTTAATATTTATTCAACTTTCAGTAGATGTAGACACTGTTCTAGGTGCTTTTAATGAATTAACTCATTTACTAACCCTCTAAGATATGTACTATAATACTTCTAAATAGTCTTACTTTCTTTTTAATTTTTTTTGATAGTACTGGGGTTTGAACTCAGGGCCTTGTACTTACGAAGCAGGCACTCTGTCACTTGAGCCACCCCCAGCCCTAATTCTAATTATTTTAACATGAGGGAATAGGTGGGCATGATGGCACACATCTGTAATCTCAGCACTTGGGAGGCTAAGGCATGAGGACTGTGAGTTCCAGGTAAGCCTAGGCTACACAGTGAGACTTTCTCAAAGGAAAAAAAAGCAAAACAAAACAGAAATGTATAAAAAGATGATGGAATTAAGGAATAGAGTGTTCATGTGACAAAGGAATAAAGCTAGTAAGTGGTAAAAATGGGATTCAAACTCAGGCAATTTGGTTATTCAGCCTGCTCAAAACCCCTGATTAGCCAAGTCTTTCAACAATCCTACAAGTCTTACCTCTTCTCTCACTGTTCATTCATCATTTGCATATTCATTCAACATATACTGAGCACCCTAATGCTGGGAACTGAGCTAGGTCCTAGGACCTAAGACTAAAGAGAGGAATGACCCAGTGTTTGCCTTTAGGTCTTTTGAGGGAAGGGAAAGAAGGAATAGAATTGTGCACATCGTTACTATAAAAATGCTCTCAGCACAACCTGTGACAAATTCAAGCAAAAACTTTACTTATTTTAAAACCTGAGATTGTCCTTTCTTGACAAGTGGTGGACTTCAATATTCATGAGGTCAGGTGTCTTTCACATACCTGATTTCTCCAAACACTGCCCCAGCTTTCAGAATGACTATAACTTGAGCACCATCAGGGCCGCCAAGAACTTGGACTTCTCCTTGCTTGATGATATACATTTCCTTACCAATTTCTCCCTATACGTCAAATATATAGAAGAGATGGTAGTTCCTTTATTCTTGACAATTATATTCCAAATTAAGAAATGTAAACTCTTCTAGGGTAGCAAATGCAAATGAAGGGAACATCACTGTAAAAGTAATTTTCTTAAGACCTTATGTAACTGCAGACATTGGCTTGAAATGATTTGGAAGATGGTACTTCCCAACACATGAGTACTGTAAATGACCACTGGGCCCGTGAAGATATTTCAGTAAGAACAATGCTCCAGGAATGGGCACCGGCAGAAGAAGTACTGATTGTACGTATGGTTGAGATGATTTGGTGACTACTGCTATGCTCTGAAGAAGGTGCTTAGTCTATCCAAAGACTATTGAGTTGCAGCCATTCAAAGGTCAATTCTATTTTTCTGGCCTCTGGTATTGAGGTCTGATTCAGGGAACCGAGGCAAAAGAGACCTTAAGTTTATTATTCTGACTCCATATTCAGAAGTGTTAATGCAGCAGGTTGTTTTACTAAGTTCTTGCTTTGCTGTGGGGACTCTAGGAAAACTACACAATCACCCATGCACAATCCCTGAGACTGCACTACTGGAATGTTCACATAGTCATGGTCAGTGGTGTTATTCTATATGCTTGAGGTGGTATGGTGGTGTAGATCAGTCTGTCAGCATTACTTAATGTAAATGCAATGATTTTTTTAATGTTAACTTATTACCTAGTTTGGAGTCTGAATCATGCCTGGTCATGTACTTATGTGGCCAGCCTAATTTAAGAACTCTGAATCCAAGATTCAGATAGACTTCTCAAGGTCATGTCTCTGTAGTTCACTGGAGAGAAAATTGTGTCCGTGTGATCTTCACAGAAGTAGAACCTGGGATGCTCACACTTGATTTCTCTAGTCTTTGCTATGTACATCTTTTTGGCACTTTTTTCTGACTATATTCTTAGCTGTAATAAATCTTAAGGCGATAAATAATAAAATAAATAAAGCTTTTTATTGAATCGTGTAAATTCTTACAGCAAATCATCAAACTAGCTGGTGACCATGGGGTCCTTGGACATATCTTTTTCTCCAACTTCCAAAAAGTATAAACATGTCTTACATGAACCCCAATGTCGTTTAGGTCAAGAAAGAGTGTTAAATTATAAAGAGGACAGTTTGCCTAGCACTGGGTGAATTAGTTGGGTAACAGTGTCAGAGTAAGCAGGGTCTTGATCATTCTGTGCCGATTGTGTCCTGTAAATTTCGAGTGTTGGAAACTTAATCTCCAAATTTTTGTGTTAATGGTGTTTGGAGAAGGAAAATTTGGGAGGTGATTAGGTCATGGGGCTCTGCCTTCATGAATGGATTAGTGGAACATCTATCACCAGAGTGGCTTTGTTGTAAAAGCCAATTTTCCTTGACAAGTTTGCCCTGTATGGTCATGTGAAGCTCTCTACCAAGTCATGATCCAGCAAGAGAGTCCTCACCAGATGCTGAGCAGATGCCAGTGCCATGCTCTTGGAGTTTTCAGCCTATAGAACCATGACCTAAATAAACTTTTATTCTTTATAAATTTCCCAGTCCATGGTATTTAGTTATAGCAACAGAAAATGTACTAAGACAGCTGTAAAAATAGTATGAATGTAATAAATTCACATACTTGGTTTCAGAGGGGACTGGGTTATTTGAATTTATCAAATATTCTCATTAACAAATCAACTTAAGATGAAACACTATTGATCATAGTTTGTGCCCTGTGATGGTTTAGATAATGCTTACATTGTTCCCGTGCTGAGCACAAGGCTTAATATATAGTAGGCATTCATTTACAAATGAGGGAAATACAATTTTACTGTCTCTGGGAAGTTTTGAAGTCCTTTGATACCAAGGGTTATTTTTCCTGAACAATAAATGTATTATCATTGTCAGGTTGGGTGTAAAGTTATCACACTCCACCTCTTAGTTGACATTTGGGAAATTAAAAGTCTCATTTTTTTCTCTCAGATACCCTCATGAGGAAGGTAGAATCAATACTATTATTTCCATTTTATAGAAAGAAAAACAAGGGCACAGATAGGCTAGCTGACTAACCAACATTCTGTAACTTAGTAACTAGATGCAAAAGGCAGCTTAGAAGCCACATCTAAGTGATCGATGAAAGATTTTTAAATTTTGCATTGTGCAAAAACACTAAGCATATGTTTATATTCTAATACAGCTCAAAGTAGAAATTTCAAGATAGATGGATTTTATTATAGTTATTTATATAATACCAATGCTAATAATAAATCTTGCCTTTGCAGAGTACTTTCAAAAATCATTAAAATATCTGATATTTACATAACTCTTATTTTAATTACTATATTTGTTTTATCAGAATATGATACTTTTTAGTTGGAAAGCTTTTCATAAATAATAAATCATTTTATTTTTGCAAATTTCCCATGAGTGCAAATAGGAGAAGTATTATTATTATTATTTAAAAATTACCAGTGGTGGATTGGCAGAGTGGCTCAAGTGGTAGAGCATCTGCCTAGCAAGCATGAGGCCCTGAGTTCAAACTCCAGTACCAATCCCCCCAAAAATATTAGCAGTAGAGGCTTAGAAAGTTAAGTGTCTTAACCAAAGTTACAAGGCTGGCAGGTGACAGCAATAGAACTGGCAAGACTCATGTCACCCAGTACAATACAAGCAGATATAACATATCTAATGGTGAATCCAATGTCAAGACCAATCTTTTAAAAACCAATAAAATAGCTGCAAATACTTTAAAAAATAAGGCACAGTGTCTGGAAATTAGTTTTCCAAGAGATGCTCCAGGAAGCAATGATTAGGACAAGGTCATATTCCTTATTTTTTGCATGAACTAATTCTCAAGGAACTGGAATGATTTTTCAAATGTAGTTATTACAACTGACTGGAGGTAAAAGTACATAATGGGCACTTAAATATAGTTCAGCACTTTTAATTATTTCTTAATGATCATTTCAATAATTTTCCAAGGAGATCTGGCATAATCAACGATCCAAAACTTCCACTATTTCTTGCATATTTCTGGGCTAATTTAAGCCTTTCCTGCAAGTTTAATTAGCATTCAAATGAAGGCGACATCCCTCAGAGAATAAGGGCTGACAGCAAGTACAAAATAAGATCGAACTTAGCTCATGTGGTTGGTTTATGTTCTAATTTGGAGAAAGAATGGAAATATAAGAGCTTCCACTAGAATTAGGTAATCCTTAGGAAGAATGCATGTGGAAAGTTCTGGGTTCCTTTGTGGGAGGCTGGTTCCAAAGCTAGTGGGGACACTATGAGTCTCAAGTGTACCCCATCAGAAAAGAGCAGTGCAGTTTTTGTTGTAGTTCCTGGATAACTAGCATCACTTAAGAGCTTGTTGAGAGGTGAAATTCTCAGGCTCCAATGCAGGAATATTGGATAAGAACTTCTGGAAATGAAGTTCCAGAAATCTGTACTTTATCAAGACCTCTGGGTGATTTCTATATTGCACATAGCATCCTGAGAAAACTCCCAGATAGTCATGAAGCAGTCCAAGCTCTGACCCAGGAAGTTTAGAAACCATTCTGAGAATTAGGCTGTTCAGCAAACTCAGTCCCAAACCCTGCCATTTCTTCAATTATTTAGGTTATCTCAAATTGAACATGACTTTTTTCCCCTTTCCCCTTTCCTACACTGTTTTGTGGAAATAATAAGCAAAAACCAAATTGAGCAGATTCAGCTGTCTAAAGTCTGGTCAAGTAACAGTCTTTTTTCTCTGTCAATATCTACTGTCATCAAAATAAAAACCAAAGTTAAAAACAAAAACAAAGAAATGTGATTTGTAGTTCTTAGCTATTCTCATTTCTGCTCCCTTTTCTACTTCTTTTCCTTCTCTCATCTGTGCCCATTGATCTGTTTTTGCTATTGGATGAGGAATGTGATGTGCTGAAAAAATTAGAAACTAGAAGGCTGCATCTCTGCACTGCATTTCACACTTTGTTAAGCAAATTTGCCCTGCTTAGGGGCACAAGTGCTAAAGTTCCTATGAATTATCTCAATTTTCAGTCCCTGCTGTTACTGGGACAAATTGAAAGACCATTTTGGTGCATTAAGGCTATATTGTTCCAATGCACCACTGCCCCACAGGGGTCCTTAAACTGCTGTGGCTTGTATTTCCCATTTTCATGAAGATGATTTCATTTCACCAATTTGCCCACTTTTAACAAATTTGTGTGGAATATTCTTGGCTTCTATTATGTCCCAATGTCTCCACCATTATTCCCTCTTTTTTTCTTTCGTAGCTCCTGATTCTTTTTTTCCATTGACCTACTCTGCAAAATTTGGTATTCTTCAAAGTTACAGCCTTGGCCTTCTTTCTCCTGAAGTGAGTTTCCATTACAATACAGTTCCCCAACATTTACCTGCAGTTCCATCATTTCTCATCAGACTGAGTCCCACCAGCATCTGCTCTCTCCAGCTGGTGCTTTGCAGCACTTTGCACTCCATTTCACTCTGTCTTTCCTCGCTCTCCCACTCACTTACTTGCTTCCACTCACTTACTTGATACATTGGGTGTATCAAGTCTGGCTTTGTCTATTGGCTCATGGCAAGTCTTCATAAAAAATACTATCTGTTCATTTTTTTGTGTTTGTCTTTTTACTAAAGAACTATTTTTCTTTAGGTTTTAAAAATGTCATGCCAACAGACTGACAACTTCCCTCTTTCTCAGCCTGCAATCTAAACTAAGCGTCTTGCCACCACATATGCTCCTGGTAAATTCTATTTTAGCTTTATACAACTTAGCACATTTTTGAATTATACATTATTTAATTTCACTTATTTATTGCTTTTGTCTTCCACTGGGCTAGCGATTCTCAACTTTGGCTGCATTTTAAGATCATAGGAGAGCTTTTCAAATGCCAATATGTAGACTTCATCCCTATTTGAGTTGAATCCCTAGATGTGTAGACCAGACTCTTACATTCAGGTAATTCTGATGTACACTGTGAACTGAATACCAAGCAGTAGATTGCAAGCCCCAGGAAGATGAGACCATATTTTTTCTTTGCTCAGTACTCAGTACCAGTGCCTGCCCCAGAATACTGAAAAATATTCATTAGTTTTATTAAATGAATCATTCAACATTGCTCTAACCTTTGTCTCACCATATTTCTCTGCACTCCTCTTGCAGACACTGTTCCTTCTTCTCTGTCTTGGCTTTCCTCTTTGACTTGATTCACTCCCATTTATTTTCCAAGACTTAGTGCAAAAATCTTTAGGAAATCTTGCCAGCAGTTAGGAGGAAGAAAGGCCCTCACTTTATGTCCTAATACACTCAGTGTTTACTCTAACCCTACTTGGAATCCTCATTCACTTGTGAACTCCCCAAGGTCTTGCATCATCTCCTATTTCTTTGAACTGGCCATCTTTCTCAATTTTATTTTGATTATTGACTTCACTATTGAGTTAGTTTCTCCAGATATAAAACCCAGGGTCATCATTCCTTCTCTCCTCTCTGAAGAGAGTGATCTGAGATGTGCAAAAATATTTATATAGGAGATGTTCATTTTAGAGTTATTTATAACAGCAATCAGTTGAAATTGATATAGTCACAGACTAGAACATTATACTGCTTAAAACATCATGTTGTATAAGATTACTTAGTAATGGGTAAAATGTTTATATGACATTGTTACATGACAAACACGTTTCAAGACCTATGTATAGCATGAGATCAATTTCATAAAACAAGCTCTATCCATCAATCTGTATAAAAAGTTAGGCAAAAATATAAATAGTGATTATTTTCTGGGAGGTAGAATTTTTCCTTTGTGTATTAGGTATTTCCTATTCTAAAATGATGAATATGTATTACTTTTGTACTCTAAAGTGCACAGTAAAGTTTTAAAAATGTGGCATTGATCAGCCACTAACTGGACGAGCAAAAGGAGGTAACTGATAGTTTGCCAAAGCCATGAAGAGGGCAGAAGAACCTATCACTACTGTAGCTTATGCCTTTACTTTAAATATTTGGGATCAATGAGGTGTGGTGATTGATTTATACAAAGCAGATTTTTATACTAACCACACTTCTCTTCTGTTCATATTCAATGAAATCTATATTGTCATGTTCCATTTTGAACATGAGAGTACATTAATGTTTAACAGATCTATATCATAATTATTTCTTATTGTGGAAGTCACCCTGAACAAATTTTATTTTAACTATGTTCTTTATCTATGTCTGAATTCCTCAAATGCATTAGCTTTGTATGTGAAGATACTATGCACTCACCTTTTTGCAGATAAAGTCACCAGGTAAGTAAATAGTGGATTTTAGTCTTAGCAGCATGTCATAAATCATCTGGGTATCACAACCCTATATAAAAAAAATAATTTTATAGACACAGATAAAAGGCTAATATTCCAAATGAATTTTAAATGCAATGGAAATAGTAATAGATGTTGTCTGCATTAGCACTAAAATATTGATTGCCAGTGGATATGGACTTGCCTTGACCCAAACCTAAAAAAATACCTTTAGGATAATGGCAAGAGTCTGGAACTTTGATAGATATGGGGTAATCCTGTTTCTACTACCTACTGCTATGTACTCTCATGCTCCCAGTTTCCTATAACCTAAAATAGTTATAAAAATGGTACCTATAAACAAAACTTAACATGGTGCTTAACTAATGACAGATATTCACAACTAATATATTAGGACTAACACAGGTCACAACCTCTACTAAATATTTTTCTTACTTATAACATCATTGTTATCATACCATAACAATAGTATTATTGTTAGCTATTATTTAACTCTGCAAACTTATGTCTTTTTTCCTAACTTAATTATCATCTTCTTAAAGGTAGAGAAAATGTGTATAACAGATATGAAAGGAGTATCTGTTGAGTGAATGAATCTTATATTCACTTGAATAACATAAGAAACAAATTTTATTTGTTACAATATGTCTATATGTGCATTTTGTCAAAATAATTGTAAGTCATCTATTTGTTGGGCTAATAAAATATAGAGATGCTTCAAAAATCTCACTTTACCTAGTGGTCTTGAATCTTTTGCTTCCACCAAATATTTTAATTTTTTTCTCCCAGAAATGAGAACATGTAGCAACTTTCCCTTTGTGCTTAGTTCTGCTCAACCCTTAGGGGCATTGTGATTTTGTAGAGAACTAATCATAAAGTCAGTTAGCAGAGGAAGGAGGAGGACCAGCAAAGGGCCTGCCGCCCATTTGTGGATTGGATAGCCATTCCTTTAGCGCTCACTAGTTTTCTGTAATGGTTTCAATCGCAAGCATTTGACCTAGATCCATATAAAATTTAGACCTTGGGGTTGTCTGGTTGATAAGGAAAATTAATAATTTATGTTTCAAGTATCTTCATGTAGCCAACAGTGAGAAGCATTCAGATGAACTTGATGTTGGAGTTTTAAAAATTCATTTGAGAAAGCATAGACTTGGTTCCTCAGAATAGAAAAAAGGCCACAGCCATAAGGAATACCAACTTAAAGCAGGCAAAAAGTATTGATGAAAAACTTCTATGAGAACAGCTTTGTGGGATGCCTGGGAGGAATTAAAAATGAAAGAAAGGAAGTCTTGTTGGGTGATGTTATAATAAACAGAAAAGCTGTAATGATTTAAAAGATAGTCATATTATAAGATAACCCAGGGACAAGATCAGGGAGGTTACTTTTGTTTGGGAATGGAATGGAAGAAAGGGGTAGCAGAGTCTCAGTCATTTGATAATGCGTATGATTTGTATTTGCAAAGATTCAAAGATCCCTGTAGGTAAAGGGAAATTTACTGTATTTTTTTCTTGTTATGTAGTTGCTTTGCACCAAGTGAATAATCTTCCCTCTCCCTCCATGCCTTTCTTTCTTTCTTTCTTTCTTTCTTTCTTTCTTTCTTTCTTTCTTTCTTTCTTTCTTTCTTTCTTTCTTTCTTTCTTTCTTTTTCTTTCTTTCTTTCTTTCTTTCTCTCTCTCTCTCTCTTTCTTTCTTTCTTTTCTTCCTTTCTTCCTTCTTTCCTTCCTTCCTCCCTTCCTTCCTTCTCTCTCTCTTTCTTCCTTCCTTTCTTTTTCCCTTCCCTTCCTTCCCTTGCCTTCCCTTCCCTTCTCTCTCTGTTTCCTTTTTTTTTTTTTTGGTGGTACAAAGGATTGAGCTCTCTACTGCTTAAACCATACACCCAATCTTTTTGTTTTTATTTTTCAGATAGGGTATTGCCTTCTGAGTAGCTGGGATTATAGACACAGTCCACCATACCTGGCTTGTGTTTTGAGGTAGGGTCTTGCTAACTTTTGCCTAGGCTGGTCTCAAAACCTCATTCCTCCTATGTATGCCTCCTGAGTAGCTGGGATTACAGGTGTGCCCCACCATGCTCAACCATAAACTTTATTTTGATTAGTATCACCATATCTTATAGGTTGTCATTTTTTGCTAAAACAAATCACAAATAAGTGTTTTCTTCCCCAAGAAGCATGATAATTTTCTTTTCAGCAAAAATACTCTATGTAAATGGCTCATGTGCTCAATTTCTTTAAATGCTAACACTGCTTCAGAATGGTTCTTTTCAGAAATTAATCATTCGAAACCCAGTTAGAAAAAACCAGAAACTTCAGAGTAATCTTTGACTTTCTCCACTAAGGAAAGTTGATATCTTTGCTGTTTTTTTTAAACATTAAAATATTTTTGGAAGTTCTTCAGCATATCCAATTGTCCTTCATGGAATTGGATCAAAGATTCCCATAGACACCAAAAACTGTGGATGCTCAATCCCTTTATATAAAATGTATACACTTTAAATCATCTCTAGATTATTTATAATGCCTACATTGCCTAATTTCAAAACAAATACTGTGTAAATAGTTCTTGCATTGTTTAGAGAATAATGACAAGAGGAAAAGTCTGTGTGTGTTAGTACAGACACCATATTTTTGACCCAAGTTTGCTTGGATCCAGAGTCAAAGGTACAAATCTGGAACACTATTTCAGTGATGCTAATTCTCAGGCATTCACATCCATGAAGAAGATTTACAGTGTAAGTATTCAGAGATAGATGTTATCAAAAACTCTGCTTGCTTATATTTACTTTCATGTGCACAATTGGATTGGGGGACATTAGTTTTTATCATCTTAATCAGAATAATGTTTTCATTCCTTAAACAATTCCTTTTGGAATGTACTTTGATGAATATTCTTGACTTCATTATGTTGTATTCATAGGAATTATTAATAATTGTAAATGTTGTTTTCCTTTGGTAGTAATTTGATTACATATATGTATATAAAGATTATGTGTAATGAATTCATGTAACGTTACATTGCCTTGGCACCTACTTTGGATGTAAGTTTAACTATTTCACACCAGAAACAGAGTTTAGTCCCCTGACAGTTTCCAGATCTTTCTTTCCAGTTCCTCAAGACTGCTGATCAGACCATCTGCCTTAAGTAACCACTTCCTTGTGACCACTTCCCTATTGGACAGTTAGACACAACCTACTTGACTCACCCCATTGACCTCCACACCCCACATGGACTATGCAGATGTGGCCCAGTGACTCCATGGAATTGTGCCTGATTGTTATAAGCCAACCACTAGAAATCCCCTTGAGAAACCTGCTTGGGTACACCCTGGACCCCAATGAATGCTTTGATCCACAGTCCTTCCTCTTCCCCGATTATCCACCTGCTGCTTAAGGATGAGTGCCTGGACAGCTTCTCCCTTCTCATCTGTGCCACGAGGTGTGCTGTTTTTGGGGATCTGTAAATAATAAAGCTGCCTCCATTTTTTTAAAGTGTTCTGTTGTTCTGCCTACTCTGTGTCTCGCCTGATTGGCACACTGGAAGCTAACTTCTTTCCAAGTCAGAGATCCCTTAGAGAGTGGCTGTCTTAGTAGCAATAAACTAGACGCAGGTCAGAAAAGACCCACAAGGGTGTCTTCCATTATAAACAAGTTGCCTGTGAGAAAGACTTCTGGTTACTGAGGCATTGGGCTGTCTTTCAGAGTCAGGAAGTATTCTATGAAAGACACACTATAAGCACCCTGCAGGAGCCTTGTAAAGTAAGGTTTCTGGAGAGACAGATCCCAATACCAAACTGGGGGAAATCATAATATGGCAGTCCAGCAGTCTCCCCTTATTCACAGTTTCACCTTCCAGAGTGGCAGCGACTTGTGATCTATCATGGTCTAAAAATATTGAATGGAAAATTTCAGAAACAATCAATTCTTAAATTTTAAATTGCACATCATTCTGAGCAGTGCCCTGTATCTTGAGCTCTCCAGCTGTATCTCACCCAGGACAGAAGTCAGTCCTGTGTCCAGCACATCCATGCCAAGTGCCACCAGCGTGTCACTTGGTAGTCTGTTAGCTACCTGACTGACTATGGTATCACAGTGTTCATGTTCAAACAACCTGGATTTTATTTAATTATAGTCTCAAAGCAAGACTGTGTTGTTGGCAATTTGGCTATGCCAACAAGAAGTCTTAAAATGCTTCCCTTAAATAAAAAGGTGAAAGTTCTCAGCTTAAGAAGAGAAAACAAAATTGTACGCTGAGTTTGCTAAGAACTATGGTAGGAATGAATCCTCTGTCTGTAAACTGTGAAAAAGGAAACAAAAGTTTAAGCCAGTTTTGCTGTTGTACTTCAAACTACAAAAGTTAAAGCTACCATGTTTCATAAATGCTTAGATCAGATGGAAAAGGCATAAAATTATAGGTTTTAAGTATCCACAGGGAATAATGGAATATATCCCCTGTTGAAAAAAGGATCTATTGTACTGTTTTCAATACTGAAAAAAATGGAAACAGCATAGTGTCAATGTGGATAAAATAATGTAGATGAAGCATAGATTGGAATATTGTAGATTGGTTAACTAAACTATAATTATAAATACTACACATACAACAAGTAATGTGGTCTAAACAAAAGCAAGGTATGAAATATATTCAGTTCATTATGAGATTATGAAAAATACTACACAATATACTGCCTGTTTATATTTTATGGATTAAAAATAAAATTATAAAAATGACAATTGGAAGGATTTCTTTAAGGGATGGAAGAAGGAGAATAGATCAGCAGAGAATTGGACAGAATTCAACTTTAATTTTCATTAACATAAAATGCTAATAAGAGCTAATAAGAAAGAGGTCAGGCATGTTGGTGCATGCCTGTAATCCCAGTTACCTCAGAGGCAGAGGTTGGGAGAATCAGCATTTGAGGCTAGCCTTGGGAAAAAGTTAGTGAGACCCCATCTCAACCAATAAACTGTGTCTGGTGGGACACTCCTGTGATCCAGGCTACATGGAAGGCATAGGTAGGAGGATCACAGTCTGAAGCTAGCCCTGGGCAAAAA